TTCTGAGGGAAAAGAGCACAAAAAAGGTGAAAAACTGAAGAGAGGGCTGTTAACATCAAACACCCGATGAGTCTGGAGGATATAATCTCTTGCGGAGTTTTAAGAATTGCTGTAGCCTAGCAGCATTCTATCAGAAAGGATTGTAGATTGGGACCAGCAGTTGGCGTAATGACTGTGTCGCAGGACTCCCATGTAACTCACCGCAGTTCAAGTTCTGGACCCAGGGGCTTAAACTCATGCCGGGTGCATGTGTGTGCGTGCCCAAGATCCCAAGAGAATGGAGGACAAGGGATTGTGGCGTGACCATCCCCCCTGAGGAGTGACTTCTCGCTTTCTGTCTCTGTCTCTCTGTCTTTCTGGCGAGCGCATGCGCCCTATAGCAAAAACCTCTCAAAAAAAAAAAAAAAAAGGATTGCAGAGAACAGGTTCAAATGCAGGTGGGAGTGTTTGTGGCACCACGTCATGGCTTTTCTCAAAATCAGCAGTTTATCTTTGTCAAGTGGGAGAGGGGAAGAGAAGAAGCTTGGAGAGAATGAAAACTAAAGGAATCATTTTCACTCAGTCAGCTGACTGCTGCCAAAAGGATTTTTAATGGGTCCCTGGTTGGTGACAGAATTGGCAATGTGAGAATTTTCTCCAACCTGACTTAGCCAACCAACCGTAGAGGACACAGGTCGTTTAGCTCATCCAAATCTCATGTTCCGTTAGGCAGCATGGTTGGTAGGGCAGTTTAAGATGTTGGCCACTGAGTGGTTCTACTGATTGTGGGATGTAAGCCAGAGATTAGAGACTTAGTAAGAGCTGAGGTGACTGCTTGAGTCTAGGGCATGACTGCAGATTAAAGTGTAGAAGAGAGTTACTGCATGTGACCTTACGATCGCGTTCTCAATGGACTAATCCCAAACACAGCCAGAGTCAACATTGGCAAGATACCTTCCAATGTAGCCAGTCTAAATACAATTTTCATTTTTAAATGGTTGGAATATCATTAAGACTCTCCTCCCTATATGAGTGAGTGCCAACTAGAATTTTGGAGCCCGTCTAAACCCAGATGATTGTGAAGTAAAAAAAAAAAAAAAAAGAAGAAGAATTAATTATTATTATTTTAATTTGATCAGAGAAAGAGAAAGGGAAAGTGAGAAAGCAAGCCAGAGAGAGATGGGTATAGTGAGAGAGAGAGAGACAGGTAAAGTGAGAAAGCTAGCTGCTAGTTCCAGGACTTCAACCGTGATCAGCCATCTGGCAGTCCAGCACCTCAACCACAGTGCCACCTGCTGGCCTCAACTAACGGGTTTTTATTAATCACTTTCGTTCAACAGAAATTGAATACCGTCATTTAGGCACTGGGAAAAAAAATGTAACATATGACCCAGGCTTCTGGACCTTATGGTCTCATTGGAGAAACAAACCGAAACTGTAACATATGATTATACAGGAGTAAATATCCATCATTCTTGGTAGTAGATAGTAGCAAACAAGAGAATGTGATCTGTGAGAAGGTGTAATTGGAAAACAAGACTTACATGTCTGGGGCAGAGAGAAGCAAGCATTCTAGATAAAAGGAACCCCCAGAGCCAGTGTAAGAAAGTCATGTAGACAGAGGGGTGAGAGAATTAATTTAGCTGGAGAGCAGGATTTATGTTCTTTAGAGTATTTCAGTGGGGTCAGCAGGTGGCATGGTGGTTAAGGTGCTAGACTTGCACAGGGCTGAATATGGTTTGAGTGTGGGACCTGGCACCTTGCTTTCTCTCTCTCTCTCTCTCTCCCCCCCTCGCTCGCTCTCTCGCTCTCTCATGCACAAGTGCTATAGGAAATTATAACAATGATAAATGAAATTCTTTGGGGAAAATATTTTCAAAAAAAATTAAAAAGGCACTCAGAAGTAAATTAGGGGCCAACTAGGGGCAAGGTAGTTAAATTTAAAGGGAGACATCCATGCCACAATCCCTTCTCCATTCTTCTCTTGGATCTTGGGTACATGCACACACATGAGCCGGGCATGAGTTTTAAGCCGCTGGATCCAGGACTCAAACCACAGTTGACTATGTGGGAGTCCAGCGATGTAATCATTATGTCAGCTGCTAGCACCAATTAGAGAACTTTTTAGAACTTTCCTGGTAGATCTGATAGTAAAACGTGTAAAAATATCTAACACCCAAGATATAGTTGAAAATGTGAACCTGGAACTCAGATGAAAGGTGTAGATTTAGGACTCATATTTCCAGAGCACTGTAGAACAACAGCAGGACAAAAAAAAAAAAAAGATAAAGCTTGGGAAATGTCCTCATTTTCAAGAGTTAGGAGACTGGAGTGAATGAGGACGCGAATAGTGTAGTGTTCCATATGGTAAGACATGGAAGGGTTTAAGACCAGGAAAAGGATGGGTTCTTAGTGATTTCAGCTGCTGTGCAGTTGTTGAGTTTCCTTGCAATGTTTAGAAGGTCATTTGTGGAGGTCCGTAGCTTATAATTTCATCTTCTCAAGCGTAACTGTACGAAGTATTCCACTCTTTTCATCCTGTCTTGGACTAGAGTTCATTCCTTCTGCATTCCTACTTTTAAGGGCTGGAAATGTAGATCAGTCCTAAATCAGCTCCCATAGAGGTCATTTCCCAAGATACTACTGTTTTGAATAAATGAGATCAGAAAGAATCTGCAACTAAAGCCATGCACTTCAGTTTTCCCAGGAGGGGCTATGGCCGTTGTTCTCAACTGGGGTGTGATGTTGCCCCGCAGGATTTCCGGCTGTCGCTAGAAGGGAAGATTTGCTATTGGGTATGAGAGAGCAGAGGCCTGGGATGTTGCTAAGCATTGTATGATGCACAGCATAGTCCCTGCCACAAAGAAGTATCTAGCACGAAATGTCAATGGTGCAGAGGTTGAGAAGCCTTGAACTAAGGTGGAGAATCTCTTTTTTTGATAAGTCTTCTAATCATCTTGCTACTGCAGGCGTTTGCATCAAACAAAAAATAATGTAGGCAGCCCTTAGAAAGCGCAGTCACAGGTCAAGACCCAAAGGAGGCTGGCCAATGTCTGTATTTGCTCAAAGTAGGGGCTTGGCGTGAACAGATGACTTCAGAAAGCCCATGGCTCCTCCAGTCAATCTAGACAAGGCCTTGGATAACTTGCCTGTAGGGTGGCACCCACCGGAAAATCAAGAGAGTAGGAAACAGGGGTCTGAAACCTAAAAACGCAGGATTTCTAATCACAGGCAATCTAGTGCACGCTGTTTAGCTGTAATACCATCCCCTCAGATTTCTATAACTGCAAAGATGAGTTTTAAGATAACAGATCCTGAAAATTAACGCAATGTATGCACCCTGCGTGCACAAAACATTGCCAGTTCCCTTGAACGCCAGATAGCCGGAGGCTCAGCGCGCAGGCGCAGGAAGCGGCCTGTGGTGGGTCGTGAATCGAAGCCCGAGGGGCGGGGCGTAGAGAGGGGCGGGGCGTGAGGCGGAACGAGGGCGGGGCAAGGGGCGGGGCGAGGGCGGCCGGCGTTTGCAGCTTCCGTCCAGCCTCGCCGGAAATCCCGTCCCACCGGCATCCGAGGTGTTGCAAGTTCTTCCTGCAGCGCGGCCGAGTCCAGGGCCGGGCGCGGCTGGCGCGGCGGTGACATTGGGGGGAAGGAGAAGACGCCCGTTTTCCTCCTCTTTGGGCCTAGATTTTCGGGGACTGAAGAAAGGTATCCCAGCTGGCTACCCATCGGGCGTTGGGGAACTCCTACTCCCTTGGGCCACCCTGGGCCGGGCCCTAGAACCCAGAGTCTTGCCTGACGAGCTGATCGCCTTTATCAGGGGTGGGAGGGCGAGGAAGCCTGGTGGGGAGAGTCACCGGGAATTTCTCTTCCAGGCGTGGAGCTCGATCTGCAGAAGGGAGCTCGTCATGGCGGATGTGAGTTGACACCCCCACCAGAGGAAGGGGAGGGGAGAGTGGGGAGTGTGGAAGAGGCCTCTAAGCCCGGAGAGAGAAAGCTTCCCAAGTAGAAATGTATTTCTGGTCCTCCCTCCCCGCCCCTGTTGATGATTTTCTTTGGGATCTGGAGGTGAGTCTCATAAGAACGGATTTTCAGAATCCTGAGGTTTTGCCTGAAATAGGGATACAAAATATTAAGTACCTGAGGTTGAAAAACTTGAATTATCCCTACTCCCCAGCCCTGTTAGGGCGGGAGAGAGGTGTCTATCTACCTCCTGAGATTCTGAGCGGTGATTTGCCAACTTTCCTGTCAGTCTGTGCTTGGTAGGACCAGTGCTGGGAATCCTTTTTCCAGTAAGCAGTCTTTGATGTCTCATTAGATTCTTTGTAGCACTTTAATATGGTTTCTTATTTATTTATTTTTTTGAGAGGTTTTTGCTAGAGGGTGTGTGCACTGGCCAGAAAGACAAGAGAGACAGAAAGCAAGAAACCACCCCCCCAGGGGGGATGGCCACTCCGCAGTCCCTTCTCCTCCATTCTCCTCTCGGGATCTTGGGCATGCATGCACACCTACCTGGCATGAGTTTAAGCCACCGGGTCCAGGACTTGAACTGCAGTCGAATACATGGGAGACCAGTGACATAGCCATTATGCCAACTGCTGGTCCCAAGATAGTTTCTAACTAGACCTTTTTAACACGCTGTTAAATTCAGTTTTTGTGCGTGTAAGATGAGAGCTAACATGAGCTGGTGGTGATTACATGAAACAAAATGATTATTCAGGTTTAGAGAATAGTAGGGGTTAGGAGTTCAAAAAAACAGATAATCTGAGCCATCCACATAGAGATCATGGTTGACACCTGGATTGTCAATAAAATTCCCCAAATTTATTTGAGAGTGTCAAGAGACAAAATGAAAATAGTGTTCTATTTCATAGTCCTGTCTACTGCCTTAAACACTTAACACACATTGTCATTTATTTTTAGTCATTTGAGGAAACTGAGTCTTGGAGAAGTTAATGAACTTCCCCAGGATCATTAAAATGATGGCAGAAAGTCTGTCTGTGGACATGGAAATATGTTCATCGTGTTCGTCAAGTGCTCACAACAGCACCAGAATGCTAAAATCATGCGGAAAATAGGACCTAATTGTATAGCTAATATGTATTTGCATTTTCCATTTCCAAGTTTATTTTGAATTTTTTAAAAAGAATTATGTATTTGATTTTATTTATTTATTCATTCATTTTCATTTGACCAGAGAAGGGCAGATACACAGAGAGAAGGAAAGTGAGAAAGCAAGCCACCAGGTCCAGGACTCTAACCATGCTTGGCCACATGGGAGTGTCTAGTACTTTAACCACCACACCACTTGCTGGCCCCTCCATATTAATACATGCATCTTCTAAATCAATCTCAACACTCACATGACATGGGCTCTCTGATTATCCCTATTCAACCAATAATGAAACTGAGACTCAGAAAAAAAGGTTAATTGTCTATAAGTTGCATGTGCCGTAAGTATCAAAACCAGAAAGAGAAAGATAAAATACAAGCAAGAAAAGCTATGAATGATGACTTAAGTTCCCTGAAATATAGGTAGGACAGGATCTAGAAAACCAGTGAAGGCATATATCATAATATGATATTTTTTCATTCTCTTTCAGGACCTAAAGCGATTCCTGTATAAAAAGTTACCAAGGTAAGAGCTGATTAAATTGTTGTTGAGTACATTTTGCATAACGTGTTAGCTTTGTGAAGTATCTTGTCTCTGGTGTAAAGATGACTGTTCTGTGTGTGCTGTGCTGTCATTTAATACTTCCTGATCTCTAACACAACTCTAGGTAGCACAAGTGACGCCATTTGAATTCGCAGGTAGATAACAAAACCTAGAGAAGCTGATGACCTAAGGCCACAGTTATGGGTGCCAGAGGGTCAGAACTCAGATTGCCTGCCATGTTCAGGTTCTTCAAGTGTACTATAATAGTTTATTGAATTATGTTGTAAAGCTGGTGTAGCAATTTTAAAGGAAAGAAATTAAGAAATTGCCTTTATTTATTTATTTATTTTTGCTATAGGGCGCGTGCGCTCGCCAGACAGAGACAGAGAGACAGAAAGTGAGAAATTACCCCCCAGAGGGGATGGCCACGCCGCAATCCCTTCTCCTCCCTTCTTCTCTCGGGATCTTGGGCACGCATGCACACACACCCGGCGTGTTTTAAGCCACCAGGTCCGGGCCGCAAACTGCAGTCGACTACATGGGAATCCAGAGACATAGCCATTATGCTAACTGCTGGTCCCTAAGAACTTGCCTTTACTTTGAATACTGCTGTTCAGGTCTAACTGCTGGGGCTTTGTAACCTGAGAATGTGAGCTCAGAAAGCAATTCATACTTGGAAAATCACAAGACATTCTTTTGCCTGCCCGCTGTCTATTTGATGTACCACTTTCTAAATCAGACTTTTGTGTTAAGGTTAGTAAACTTTCTGTTAGATGTCTTATTGATACAAAGGACCTTGTCACTTGAGTTCAAACTTAAATTTTTATTTACTATAAAATGATGGCTTCTTTGACAAGAGCTGCTTCCCTCTACATTAACAACTCTTTACAAATAACTCAGCATTCCTTTCTCATTCCCGGCATGAGAGAGAGCACAGTATATCTTGAGACGTCCATTTCACATCTCAGAATATTATGATTCAGAATTAATTGAATGACCTTTGAGGTAGTATAGCAGAATATGTGGGGTTTTTTTTTAAATATTTTTTTCTTATCCCCCAAATCTATTGGAAGTTTTTTTTTTTAAGACTTATTTATTTAATTTTATTTATTCATTCATTTATTTTAATTTGACTAGAGAAGGACAGACATACAAAGAGAAGGAAAGTGAGAAAGCAAGCCTCCAGGTCCGGGATTCAAACCGTGGTTGACCATGTGAGAGTGTCCAGCGTCTCAACCACACCATGCCACCTGCTGGCCCGATTTGAAGTTTTAAAAAGGTTGCAGATATCAGTTATTTCTGTATTTATTCATTCATTTATTTTAATTTGACTAGAGAAGGACAGACATACAAAGAGAAGGAAAGTGAGAAAGCAAGCCTCCAGGTCCGGGATTCAAACCGTGGTTGACCATGTGAGAGTGTCCAGCGTCTCAACCACACCATGCCACCTGCTGGCCCGATTTGAAGTTTTAAAAAGGTTGCAGATATCAGTTATTTCTGTAGGTAGAAAAAAAACTCACTTGAGTTTCTGCTTGAACTGTCGGAGTGGTTCCCCTGTTGGCTTGTTTTTTTAACTACACTGAGGACAGGCCATTGCAGATTAGTGAGCACCATCTTCTGCTTTTGATTTATCTATGTTTTTCTTCGTATTTAGGAAGAAAACACTCTCTAAGTGTTCCCATTAATTTCACGTTAATGCATTACTTAGTTGTTTGTGTTCTCCCTCCTGCTAGCGGCAAGCTGTAGAGACAAGTCATCTGCTCTGAGCCTAGCGCTCGGCAGTGCAGGCAGCCCTAGCCTGGCATGGGGAGGCAGGGCCCTGGAGACGAGCACACGAGCTGAAACCGCAAAGGAGCCCTGGTCACCACCGGGAGAAATAGCAGTTGTTCAGTATCAAATGGTAGTAGTGACCCTTACATATTTTCAGAACATTAAAACCTTACTTAAGATTGTATGTAGGGGAGATGAAAACCATGACTAAAATTCATACATGTTGAGTTCATGAATTTACAGCATTAGAAACATTGAGAATTCGTGTTTAAGCTCTTTGTAAAAACTTCCCAGAGTACTTTGAACACACTCACTTGTCTCTTTTCATATACCTTAAATCACATTTTCTATGGCAAATTGTACTCCATTTGAACTTTGGATCGGCTCCCAAAATTGTGAAATATCTCCGAGATTTCCTTGAAAGTGAATTTTATGTTTTCCAACATGACTTCCTTCAGAACAGTTTCATCACCGGCGCTTTCTCGTTTATGTCAGTATGTTCGCCCTCCTGAGTTTCTCCGGCTACAGAGCCAGCCCCTGACAGCAGTCGTGCTGTCATCCCCATCTGTGATTTCTTCTCTAACTCCGTTACTCTCTATTCGCATTTCACCCCTAGCATCATCCCTGTCTGTTTCGTCTTCCTTGGCCAGTGTCCTCTTTTGGTTATCTTTTTTTATTTTTTTAATGCCTCGTGGTTTATTCCTGGGAGACAGGGAGGTAGTAAACTACATGCTTTGCTGTCTCTGCATGAACTGAGTAAGAGACGTGCAGTGACCAGTCACTTGGGAAGAAGTGACGTGTCCGGTTACGATCACGGCGTGCATCTGGTCATTACATGGTGATTTACAGACCACAGAGTTAGTGAAGTTTGTTCTTACGCACTTGTTCAGTTAATAGGCCATGCCATCCGAAACTTGACCTATGCTGTGGCAGGAGTGGCATTGACTGACCAGGCATAATTAAAACGCACCTGTTGGAACTGTGCACAGTGAGAGTGTTCTGTACCTTTGCTTACCCCCTGTGGGCCTCTTTTTTTTTTTTTTTTTTAATATCTATTTATTTTATCCATGGCAGAAGATGCATGCATGGGCAGAGAGAGATTGAGAGAGAGGGAGAATTACCCTTAACAGTCTCAGCACACTGCAGTCCCCTTCCCTCAGCCCTTCAGCTTGTCTGGATCTTGGGCACACTCACCTGACAGGTTTCAGGTTGACATGCAGCGGACCTGAACCCATCGTTGGCCTTCAGCACTGCAGTCCAGCGTGCTACCACCTGCCCCAATGAGTCTGGGCCTTTTTTCCTTCCCTAAATAATTATTTATTTAATTTTATTTATTGTTATTAATTTTGCTATGTAGCACGTGTGTGCACCAGAGAGAGGCAGAAAGAGAGAGAGGGAAAGTAAAGTAAGAGCCACCAGGTCCAGGACTCGAACCGTGGCTGGCCATGTGGGAGTCTAGTACCTTCACCACTGCGCCACCTGCTGGCCCCACCACAGAGACTTCTTTTTTTTAAGAGAGATTTTTGCTATAGAGCAAGAACACATGCTCACCAGAAAGACAGACAGAAAGTGAGAAATCACCCCCAGGAGGGATGGCCATACCACAATCCCTTTTACTCCATTCTCCTCTCAGGGTTTTGGGCATACACGCACATGTGCCCAGAGTGAGTTTTAAGCTACTGGTCCAGAACTGGAACCATGGTCAACCACATGGGAGTCAAGCGACGTAACCATTATGCCATCTGCTGGTCCTTCCTAGAGACCTCTTAATAGCACTTAATACAGGGCCAGCAGGCGGTGTAGTGGTTAAGGTGCTGCACTCCCTTGTGGCTGACCGTGGTTCGAGTACCAAACCTGTCAGCTTGAAACACACCAGATGCTCCTGCACCATGCCCAATAATCCTGAGAGGAGAATGGAGGAGAAGGGATTGTGGCATGGCCATCCCTCTTGAGGGATCATTTCTCACTTTCTGTCTCTGTCTCTGATGAGCATATGTGCCCTATAGCAAAAATCTTTCTAGAAAATAAAAAAGCATTCAATTTGGTCATACTTTCATATTTGTTAGGGCAAATTATTTGATTGAGAGCCACTCTTTAGATTTTGAGCCTTGTGAAAGTGGTGGCTGAGTCTGTCACAAATACTAGGCTCTTGATATTGGAATGAATGAGAGAAAGGAAAAAGGCCTTTTGTCACTGTAAATACTGCTGATAACCTTGCATGCTTTCAGACCATAAGGTGGTGAAACATTAGCAATTTTAATGTAGAACCAGCTGTGTTTCAGAGTTTCATTAGTACACTGCAAGAATTTCTGAAGTTTGTAAATGTGCCACTAACGCACGTTCAATTCCTGGAAGACCTGACAAACACGTTATAGGAACACAGGGTGTCAATAATTGAGGTCCCATGTTTTCTCAGAAACATATGTGAGAGTTACCATTGTGACAGCGTCTATTTTGAGAAAACGAAGTGTTTTCTAATAGTTTAACTTTGTTTCTCTTTCTAGTGTTGAAGGGCTCCATGCTATCGTCGTGTCAGATCGAGATGGAGTACCTGTTATTAAAGGTAAGCCTGAACACCTCAGTGCAGATTCGCGTGTGCCTGTGAAGATGTGTGCGCTTACGCCTGGGTAGTGCGGAAGGCAGTCATAGAAGTTCACTTCAGTGAGTTCAGAAGTCGGTCTTAGGAAATGAGGGGGATTTGTTGGCTTTTGCATCTAGAAGGCTGGTTCAGAACCTGTCGTGTCATATGTCACGTGGATCGTGTTAATAGCTGGAGTTTCAGCACGGATTTAGCACAGGCCCGGCTTCCTATGTGTAAGCCATCCGTAACTCCAAGTGAAGAGCGTGAACAGCTGTACATCGACTCTGCCGTTCACCTGGTTTTTTAAACTTAGTATTTAATGAGGCTAATACTACATATTTGGATTGTCATATATTGATTGTTTTGTCTAATCTTGCCTAATTTCCTCATACCTTCTTACTAGAAGAAAGATTTTTTAAAATATGTATATTTTTTGTAAAGCATGTGCACTCACCAGAGAGAGAGAAAGTGAGAAATCATCCCCGGGGGGGGATGGCCATGACACAACCCCTTATTCTCCTCTCGGAATTTTGGGCACATGTGTACACATGCCCGGTGTGGTTTTTTTCAAGCACTCGGGTCCAGGACTGCAGCTACACAGCCAGCCATGTGGCATCCAGCTGCCTTAACCACTATGTCTCATGTGGGCCCTCCAGGTGGGTCTTCTAGTCAGTGAGAGGAACATGAAACTGGTAACCAGCTGGGCATTATTGACACCTCTGACACCCTGCTGCTGGACCTCACCTTATTCTAGCCTGCCTGTCAAGTAACCAGAATATTCAGTGTATTAAATACTGATTAATCTGTGTTTTAGGGTGGATATCAAGAAATATAAATATTGTTCTTTTAAAACTTGAAAAACATTGTGACAGCTTTTCTTCCCTTAGTTATGACTGCCTACCTTCCAGCTGAACAGTTTTCCCACCTGAATTGGTGAGACCCATTAGTGATACGGTGCTCAGTATTCCGACACATTAACTTTTATGCTCTATTTTTTCATGAGTTTCCATAAGAAGCACTGGGACTCTTCTCTCTGCTGTATCCTCTGCATATTTTTTATTTAAACCCCTCACTTTTCCAGTGGCCAACGACAATGCTCCAGAGCATGCATTGCGGCCTGGCTTCTTGTCTACTTTTGCCCTCGCGACAGACCAAGGGAGCAAACTGGGACTTTCAAAGAACAAAAGTATCATCTGTTACTACAACACCTACCAGGTGAGCTTGTAAGCGCCAACGGCTTGCTGGTTCCAGCTGTCATTTTTGTGTCTTATATAATAAAGTAGCTCATGTTCTACTTCTCAGTTTTAGTTTTGAAGGGAGTGGAATTTAAAATTTTAGCCTACAAATTGATTATGTTAAACCATAATAATTTTTTCCCTATTTTATACTAGGAAGTACTTACTGTGAAAAGTAGTAAAAAGATTTAATAAATGTCATACCTGTAGTCCTGGGAAGGGTAATCAGGTCATTTTACTTCCAGTAGATGGTGCCCTTAGCTAAACTGATTGCTCAAATGATATGGTGTGTTTTGTTATAAGAAATCAAACATTTTCCTTGAAAGTCAAATTAAAATTTAAATAAATGAACAAATTTAAATTTGTTATTGCTATTAATTCCTACATATGGCATAAAATATATGTAATGACTGAGGTTATTGTTAATTGAGGAGAAATTAGTTGTTATAAATGTCTTCATTTCCATCTGTGTGTATTAATAATAAATAAATCCATTCTGCTCCAGAGCAGTGTTTTCTGCAGTCTGATTCCTGTATCGCTGTTGGTACACAAGTGGTGTATTTATTTTAAACGTTGTATATGTTCATGTGTATTAGGAAAAAGATAACCAATCCGTTCATTTCACTGGTAAGGATTAGATCGAAGCTAAGTTGTTTTTTTTTTTAAGTAATTGATTTAAAATTAGTCTTAACCTAAATTACAACAGGTGGTGGGAAATTGTGACGATAGCATTACTTGAGTGGCCGAGAAATGCTGCCTTTAGCCATTTAGTTATCAACTATTTATCGAGCCCTGACTGTGTAACTGGCACTCTGCTGGACTGTAGAGATAAAAAGATGAAGACACGTTTCCACCTTAAAAACATTGTAAGAGGGAACCAGCAGTTAGCGTAATGGCTATGTCGCTGGACTCCCACGTAGTCGACCGCGGTTCATGTCCCAGACCCGGTGGCTTAAACTCACGCTGGGCGCGTATGCGTGCGTGCCCAAGATCCCAAGAGGAGAATCGAGGAGAACAGGTGATTTCTCGCTTTCTGTCTGTCTCTCTCTTTCTGGCGAGCGCACGCGCCCTATAGCAAAAACCTCTCCAAAAAAGAAAAAAACATTCTAAGATAAGTAGTAACAGTGCGGCTATTACCTAGGAGGTCATCAGTAATCAGGAGGTACTCTGTTTTATGGAAATAGTTCTCCTATTTCGTGATATAATACTATGGCCTATGAATAACATTGACCATTTTAAGATTTTTGAAAGATTAACATCTTCTAGTTGAGTTATAAGACTTTATAGTTGAAAAGACTTTACTTTTTCACAATGCAACATAATCTATAGATGTTCATTTCTTTTCAGGTGGTTCAATTTAATCGCTTACCTTTGGTGGTGAGTTTCATAGCCAGCAGCAATGCCAATACAGGTATGTCTCAGTGACCTTAACTGCAGCTTCTCTTCCCTTGCTACTGTCATCTGTGCCATCTAATGTGATAGGAACAGTAGCTTTAGAGTCAGAAAACTTGAATTTGTGGTCCAGTTTCATCAGCTATCTACTCTGATCTTGGAAAAGTGAGTTCTCTGAGTCCTAGGTCCCATATCTACTTAATGAGCTAATACCTGCCTTCTCCACCCTCTCTGGGGTAATTTTCCAGTTTAAATGAGATACTGTATGGGTGAGTGATTTGATTTGATTTTTAGAAAGGAAGATGCTGCTGGGGACCAGCAGATGGCATAATGGTTATATTGCTGGATTCCTACATAGTTGACTGCTGTTCAAGTCCCAGACCCAGTGGCTTAAAAAACTCACACCTGGCTTGTGTGCATGCATGCCGAAAATCCTGAGAGGAGAGTGGAGAAGGGATTGTGTGTGGCCGTGCCTCCCAGGGGGTGATTTCTTGGATTCTGTTTCACTGTCTCTCTGTCTCTCCAGTGAGCACATGCTTCCTGTAGGAAAAATCTCTCTCTAAAAGAAAAAGAAAGGAGAATACCGAGTGCTACATTTTGAGATATGTAGTAGTTTAAGAAAAAGTTTAAGAAACAGTTGAAGAAAATGTTTAAAAAGAGGGTGAGAAAAATTACCAAACAAAACATATCAAATGATCAAGGGTAAGCTTCATTGCATATAGATCAGTCTATTAAATCAAAATTTTAAAAATTGTGAATGACAGCAAGCAAGATGAATGTGGTCAGGAATTTAAAGAGCATGGGCGGGGGCATCAGGGCAGCAGGTGTCGTGGTGGTGATCAGGGCTCTGGACTCACGCATGCAACTGTGGTTTGAGTTCCGACCTGCTGGCTTAAAACTCATGCCTGATGCATGTGTGTGCATGCCCCAAATCCCAAGATGAGAGTGAAAGAGAAAGGACTGCAGCATAGCTGTTCCCCCGGAGGGCAATTTCTCACTTTCTGTCTGTCTCTCCTCATCTCTCTGGTGAGCAGATGCGTTCTACACCAAAAATCTCTCTCAAACAAACAAGCAAAAAGAATTGAAAAGGCATCAATAGGATGAATATATTTGTATTCTTCTTGAGGGCAGAAGAATCTGATAACAAATATAAGAGAGGGTACTTTCTTTTCTGTTTTTTAATTGCCGGAGGGTGCATGTGCTCACCAGAGAGAGGGAAAAGTGCCCCAGTGGAGTGCGGTCCTGCAGCATCCTTTCCCTCCCTCTCTCCATCCTGTTGGATCTTGGGCGTCCACACCTATGCACCACCGCGCTTTTAAGCTGCCAGTTCTGGGACTCAACCCATGGTTGAATGTGGGATCCGACTCACAGTGCACAGGGCCTAACCATTGTGCCCACAGGGCCGGCAGGTATTTTCTATAGAGAATAGTCAAATATCTGTTATGCTTAAGTGAATTTTTTTCTTTTTTGTTTTTATGTTGGTTGGATAGCAAGTATTCTCACTGAAGAGACAAGAAAGAGAAAGAGAAAAACACTCTCCCATGGGGCATGGTTGTGCCACAGTCTTCTTTTCCATTTCACATCCTGTTGGGATTTGGGGCACACATGCACATGTGCCTAGTGTTTTTTTCAAGCCACTGGAGCTGAGATTTGAACCACTCAATTTGCCATGTGGGATCCAGCTCCATCTACCTCTAGGCCACAGGGCTGTTCCCCTTTACTGGATATTTATATATAAAATAATGCAATATTTAGTTGGCTTATAAGACTTATACTGCCTGTTGAATAACGTGAGGTTTTATTTTTAGTCTGTGTCTTGAGGTTTGATTGCTGTCGAGACCTTTACACCTTCCTTCTCTGTTTTCCCAAGCTGAGCAAGTTCTAGCTCTGTCACTGGAGCCTGTACTTAGATACCTCGTCTTCAGAATGAGGGATGTAGATTTAATAATCTTCTTATGTCTCTTCCATTTCTAAACGTTTCGAAACTGTGAAAGTCCTCTGTAAATTATATAGGATAGCAATAGTGTTGATGTTTTCTTTTTTTCTTTTTTTTGGAGAGGTTTTTGCTAGAGGGCGCATGCACTCGCCAGACAGACAGAGAGAGACAGAAAGTGAGAAATCACCCCCCAGGGGGGCTGGCCACGCTGCAATCCCTTCTCCTCCATTCTCCTCTTGGGATCTTGGGCACGCACGCACACGCACCCAGCTTGAGTTTAAGCCACCAGGTCAGGGACTTGAACTGCAGTCGACTACGTGGGAGTCCAGGACATAGCCATTACGCTAACTGCTGGTCCCAGTGTTGATGTTTTAAGTAAACAAAATCAGTTTTGGAAAGTCACAGGTCATCACATACGGAATAGTTGTTATATATTGTGGTAGTGTGCAGAATTGTATTTAATACTCAGAACCTTTCCTTGAGAGTTCAGTTGCTTTTAATATTCTGTGAGACAGAGGAAGATCTTTATTGACTTGAACATAAAACAGACACTGTCTAAGGTGGATAGTCTGCCACGCTGGTAAGCTAGGGACAGGCTAGGTATACTCATTTCTAGGTGACTGTCTCCCAGAGTCTTCACTAGACTTACATAAATGTGTTTTAACTCAACTCTTTATCTTTAGAAGGTTTTTTAAATTTGAAATCCCTGTTTATGTCTTAGACATATTGAGATGTATTTATAAATTTCTGATTTCCTTCAATATTGAAGCAGTCTGTTTACCTATCTTTTGATATAACTTGCTTAAATTTGCTCAGGAGAAAGTAAACTTTATTTAGTAAAAATTGTGTGTATTAGGGCCAGCAGATGGCATAATGGTTACGTTGCTGGACTCCCACGTAGTCTACTGTGGTTCGAGTCCCAAACCTGGCAGCTTAAAACTTACACCAGGCACATGTGTCTGCATGTGATGCGTGATCCCGAGACCCCGAGGGGAGAATGGAGGAAAAGGGATTGCAGTGTGGACAATCCCCCCTTGGGGTGATTTCTTGCTTTCCATCTGTCTGTCTCTGTCTCTCTGGCGAGTGCATATGCCCTATTACAAAAATGTCTCTTAAAAAAAAATCGTGTATTATTTCTGAATCGATGCAAATTTTGAAATAGTAAGGTATAAATTAAGATTTTTCTTTTCAAAATGCTAATAAATTATAATGTATGTTATTCTGTATTTACTAATGCATAAAATGTGTTTCATTCATTTAATTTAATAGCAAATGATGAAAATAAACTTACTGATGAATGGGAATTTTGGTTACTTTATTTAGGATTATAGTATTTTGTTTTAGTTATGGGGAATAAACTGCTTCATTTCCTTTTTTTTCTTTTTGCTATAGGGTATGTGTACTTAGCAGAGACAGAGTGAGAGAGAGAAGGGGAAAGAGAAGGGGAATGTGAGATGGCCATGCCACAGTCCCTTCTCTGCCACTCTCCTCCCAGGATTTTGGGCATGCACGCACGTCTGGCATGATTCTCAGGCCTCCAAATACAGGGGCTCAAACCACAAAGCTGCCCGTATGGGATCCAGGACTTTAACCTCCGTGCTACTTGCTGGCCCTCAATTTTTTTCAGTAACTATACATTTTGGACATGAGGGAATGTAAGTTGAAGACTTTCAAGGACATTTTCCTAACGATCTAATTTTCTTAATCTCTTTGTTTTAGGACTAATTGTCAGCTTAGAAAAAGAACTTGCTCCATTATTTGAAGGATTGAAACAAGTTGTGGAAGTTTCTTAATCTGACAGTGATTTCGACGTGGACCTTCTCTGCATTGTAACAGCCCAGTATCAATCCAGCAATCCTTAGCCCACAGGACGACCTGTACCCTGTACCCGAGAAAGTACACCTTAACTAAAGAAAGAGCCTGTGGATGACGTAGATCACTTGTCACAGGTCCTTGCGTGTGGTCCCTTCGTATTTAGTGAGATCTGAAGATGCCTCAGAAACGGCTCAATCTATCACAGCTCCCATGGAGTTAGTCCTGTGACCTGACATGGGTGAGAAACCGCTCCGTGGATCCCAATCAGAACGGTACGCTGGTCCCCGCGAGCCGTTGCCTGCTCCCTGTGTAAAATACCCTCGCCTGTCGGATGCAGCGTCCTTTTTTATTGTGAAAATGACGAAGACATATTTTTCTTCAGATTATGTTTTATTTTGTTGCCTTGAGTGTGAGGGAGATAAAATGGCTTAGTAAGAATAATAAAATCAGTACAATCACTAACTTTCCTTTGTATATATTATTTTGCAGTATAGACGAATATTACTAATAGATTTGGTTCTTCTCAGTGGGTGCTGTTCTTTAATAAATATGAAAATTAGAGCTAACGCCCCCCCCCACTTTGCTTTCTATAACCAATCTATTGTAATGTTCGTTTTCTTTATAAAATTTAAATGACTTGTTATTGAATTCTGTCTCCAATATCAGTAAGTATGTAAACATGATAGCATAGTCATTTTTTTCATATATGAGTATAAATAAAATAGTATTTTTAAAAAATATAGTTTGAGCACTGTATAGGTCTTTCTTTTTTTCCTGACTTCTTCCAAAAGAATTTAAATCTGTGGAGCAGGTCAGGAGCCTGGAACATTTCAAGTAGCCCAGGCTATAATTTTGAGGCAGAATTGCTTCCTCCTGGCATCCTCAGATCTGCTCTTACGAACTTTCACCTGACTGGATGAGTTCCACCCACATTAAGGAGGGTACTCTCTTTTACGTAAAATTCAAGGGATTGTACTGTAGACGCTAAACAGGTCTACACAGTGCCTTCAAGCAACACCTCAATTCACGTTTGACTGACAGGTACTCGTTCTGAATTCTAGGCAGGTTGACACGTGAAACTGAGTTTACTCCTAGTCAGCTTGGCATCTATATGCATCTCTTTAAACCACATTTTAATCTCTGAATAAAGACAGTAATTAAATTATACCTCTAACATGGTAGAACTATCTTGTAGACAACCAAGAATATTCCCTAGAAGTAGATGCAACTCATTTCCCAAAGGAGGGTACTGAGCCTGAGGGTGATACGTTTTCTCCCTGCTGCGATACAAGGTTAACTATTAGTACATCTTGTTAGATTATAAGAGGGTGAGGGAGGGGGAAAAGATACTTGTTCAGGGCATGTGTGAAATATTTGTATTCATATATGTATATACACAGTCAAAATTGTCACAGTCTTTGCTTTGTCAGCTGGATGTGTACTTGTAGCTGGTATCTAGAACAGTCTTTCACTACCTAGTCTGTTTCCCCTTTGCTCCCCAGGCCCATGGCTCATGTGGTTCTGCTTGGTGAGGTAACCTAAACTAATTCTGAAGAATTTAAGCCTTAATTGTCCTGGCTAAACAAAGTTTTGGAGTTTTCCATGGACTTAGTTACAGGTTTGGTGATGCTGGCAGATCCCCTGTATTCCACACATTCTCTTTCTTACCTTGACTGTGCAGTAATAGCCCAGTTTCACCTGGTATTAAGAATCAATTGTCCCTTGGGACCAGCAGATGGTGTAATGGCTATGTCACTGGACTCCCATGTGGTCGACTGTAGTTCGAGTCCTGGACCCGGTGACTTAAACTCATATTGGGCACATGTGCATGCATGCCCAAAATCCCGAGAGGAGAATGGAGGGGAAGGGATTGTGGTGTGGCCATTCCCCCGGGGAGGGGGGGATTTCTCGCTTTCTATCTTTCTGGTGAGTGCACGGACCCTATAGCAAAAACTTCTCCAAAATAAGTAAATAAATAAATAGTCACCCCCAATCAGTACAGTAATCCCTTTCTTAATGTGTTGATTCAGGGAGCTCAAATTGGTGGACTTTGTTTTGTTTATTTGTTCTCGTGGGTTTTTTTTAGAGAGAGAGAGGAAGCGAGAAATCAGCCCCCAGAAGGGATGGCCATGCTACCATCCCTTCTCGTCCATTGTCCTCTTGAGATATTGGGCACACATGCACATGTGCCTGGTGTCCAGGACTCAAACCACAGCCGGCCATGCGGTAGTCCACACATTAACCACTGCACCACCTGCTGGGCCCCAAAGTGGCAGTCTTCATGTCCAGTTCAATAGAATCATTGTTATGTCTCCTGGTGGAAGCATTCCTTTCTTTGCAACAAAGATCCCTAGACCTGCAGAGTATAAGAATATGGGGACATGAAGCAAAATGTGCTAGTGGTCACTAGGAATGATAGTGGGTTCCATTCCCATTTTCTACCCCCGATTCCTGAACCTGTGACCTGGCTGTGGAAGAAACAGCACTACATATTGGATATTGATGTAACCTCCTGGGGAACACTGCCCAGCCCTGCAAGGTGTTGCCATGGCTAGTATAGACTGAGTCTTCAAAAAGGCCATTCCACTAGGCACCCGCTTCAGGATGGTGGGGACCATGGTAAGATCACTGAATTACATGAGCAGTATGAGAAACGTGTTACCTCCAAAATCTAAAGAGATTCACTGGGTGATGTGTGCCTTTTCTTTGGTTATGGGAGGGCCAGAGTTGATGTTATTATTTATCTTAGAGCTATCTTGACATGCCTCACACCATTGGACTCCCAAGAAATTTTAGTAAGGTAGAAGGTACCAGAGTATCTGTCAAATTTACTTTCCAACTCTGAAACACAGCTGTCCTAACAATATGTCTACGGATGTCTAGGCTAGTTGCTACTACTCGTTCATTGGGTCCAGTCAACATAATGTCATCAATGCAATGGGCCAGTGTGGTGTCTTGTGGAAAGGAAATGTAATCAAGGTGCCAGTGAACTCAGTTATGACTTGTGGCTGGTGATTTGCTATACTCCTGAGGCAGGACAATGAAGGTGTATTGTTGGCCTTGCCAACTGAAAGCAAACTGCCTCTGGTGGTCTTTATTAATAGATATCAAGAAAACAAAACACTTGGAGATCAACAGCTCCATACCAGATATCGGGGAATGGGTTTATTTGCTCAAGCAATGAAACATCTCCACAGCAGTTGCAGTTGGAGTTATCACCTGGGTAAATTTGTGATAATCCATGATTGTCCTCCAAGATTCATCGGCTTTCCGTAAAGGTCAAGCAAGTGGGTTGAATAGAGATACACCCCTCTACCCAAGTCCCTGATGGTGACACTAATCTCAAACCCCACCCCATGAAAGTGATAATGCTCTTGGTTTATATCTTCCCAGGCTAAGGCAGTGCTAGGCTTCCCCTTGGCCTCTTCTGTTAGGATGGTCCTTACTAGCTGACTTGTGGAGTGAGGACCATGTATATGTCTGTATGGAGTAGGCATTGGAAAACTGAGGAAATGATCACAGGGTGGGTTCAGCAATTTATTGGGCCTATTTCTCAAGCTCCAGCTCTGCTTTTTCTGTGGGAAATCCAGTTTCTCTCAAGTGTATTCCAGATATTTTAGGAAGACCCCTTTGAGTCCTTCACAAGTACTCCTAAAAACACATGGCACTTGGCAACTTCCTTTGCTTTGTTCCTGCCCTCAGGGAAGATCTATGCTCCTCAACCTGGCCATCGCTGCTACTGCTGACTGAGGTTGCGATGCCTAGAGGCTGCCCGTGTGTCTGCAGGAGGCCAAGGGTACCATCTTTGTTCACAGCAATAAATGCGACACAACTCACACTTTCTAAATCGTCCCTGGAGACTAGTGAAATAGCTCTTCTAGGTCTGGCTGAGGAGGGGCTGAGTAACAGATGAGAATGTGCTCAGAACCATCCTCTATAATGGTGTCTACACTCCCATCAATGAAGCATTTGCATCTTAACTCTTTCCATCTTCAGGTGAATACTTTTTCAAGAAGTCTCTTGCAGCCAGCCTGTGGGGTGGCGGTTAAGGAAGGTGGATCCCACATGGCCAGCTGAGCAGCCTGAGTCCTAGACCTGGTGGCTTGAAAAACACTCCAGCTGTGTGTGTGCCCAAAATCCTGGAAAGAAAGAGAAATGGAGGAAAAGGGATTGTGGTACGTGGGGAGCTATGCTTTCTCATCCCTCCCGACCCCCCATCTCTCTCTGGCAAGTGTACATAAATTTTTAAAAATAAAAGAAGGCTCTTGTTTCTTTTTACCTGTCAGTCAGTCCTGTGTATTTGAAGTATACATCTGTACAGTTTATTACCAAGTACAGAAATTGAAAGTAAGTGCTTAAAAACTTACAGGAAGGGCCAGCACATGGTGTAATGGTTATGTCACTGGACTCCCACGTAGTTGACTGAAGTTCGAGTCCTGGATCCAGCAGCTTGAAACTCGGGCTGGGCGCATGTGTGTGTGTGCCCAAGATCCTGGGAGAATAATGGAGAAGGGTTTGCTGCGTGCCATCCCCTCGGGGGGGGGGGAGGGTGATTTCTTGCCCCCTGTCTCTGTCTCTGTCTCTCCAGTGAGTGCACACACCCTATAGTAAAAATCTCTCTTAAAAAGAAAACTTACAGGAATTTGATATAGGAGTTTGATGTCTATTGAATCTGATCACAAAAAATACAGATTTGTGATATATTCATTTAATTTTTCTAATAATTTCTTTGCATTGAATTTTACAAAATTCCAGTTTGTGACAGGTCAGAAAGAAAAAGAAAATCTGATCCTTCACCACAGATGGTTTAAGAAACTGCTTGACATCATGGTCAGACAGCTTGAATCCACAGTGAGCAGAAGGCGGCTTTGGGAAAAACATGAGTTTTCTGCAGTCAATCTGAAGAGCTGTGGGGGAGAAGTAGGTTAGCGTTCACCTTTAACAGTTCTCTTCTCTCTGCCCGAAGTGGGGACATGCATTAGTCCCCGACCCACTCACACCACATGTGGGAGGGAAGGAGGAAGGATCCCACCCTCTCTGTGCCGCGTGGGTGGTAAGAGCAGGCCCTGCCCCGAATGTGTTCTCGTGTTCAGTGGCAGGTTTGCCCGGAGACAGTCTTAGCCTTCCCTCCATGGGGGTGATTCCACTGGTTCAGAGGGAACACTGCTTCCTAGAGGAAATTCTGAGAATAACTGCTAATATGTTGGCTATATCTTAAGAGGTACTTTTTTTTTTTTTTTTGGAGAGGTTTTCGCTATAGGGCACGTGCGCTTGCCAGACAGACAGAGAGAGACATAGGGACAGAAAGCGAGAAATCACCCCCAGGGGGGATGGTCACGCCGCAATCCCTTCTCCTTCATTCTCCTCTCGGGACCTTGGGCATGCACGCACACATGCTCGGCATGAGTTCTAAGCCATCGGGTCCGGGACACGAACCGCGGTCGACTACATGGGAATCCAACGACATAGCCATTACGCTAACTGCTGGTTCCCAAGAGGTACTTTTTATTTATTTACTTATTTTAAGTTTTCCGCCTTAGGGTACGTGCACTTGCCAGAGAGAGACACTGTGAGAGGGAAAGTGAAAAAACACCCCTCAGGAGGGATGACCACGCCACAATCCCTTCTCTTTCGTTTTCCTCCCAGGATCTTGGGCACGCACGCACACAGGCTCAGCTTGAGTTTCAAGCCACCGGATCTGGTACTCGAACTGTGGTCGGCCATATGGGAGTCCAGCGATGTAACCCTATGCCATCTGCTGGCCACAAGAGGTACTTTTTTGATGATAAGCACACACCTGTTAGCACACAGGCCTGACACAGACATCCCACTTGCTCTCCTCCCATATCCTCCCTCTGGAATTGGAACACATCCGCTGTGGTTTGGGACTTGGGGAAATAGGTGAGGGCCCCTTGCCAGGCAGACTCAAGGGGTGGGGCCACAGCCTCTTCACAGGACTGCCGAGAAGCCCGAGCCTCGTACTAGTGACGAAGCAGTGTGTGTCAGCTCAGTCTTTCTGTTCAAAACCCTTCAGCAAATGGCTTTATCTCCTGCT